GCGTCGTGTGAGCTTTCAAATAGCAAGGGTGATTAAAAGGCTTTTGTTTAAAACAGATTAGGGCGTTGGCACCTTAGCTGAGTGTGTACTTAGAAAAAAAAAAAATCATGAGGACCGAGGGCGTCGTTCTGGACTGAAGAGTCCAGTCCATGCATGGCTTGGTGCTACCCCTGGCTACCTCAGGAACAGAGAGGGCTAGAAGTTGGGGTGCAGGTGCTCGACTGGACTGATGCGGTTACTGGAGATAGTAGACTCTCTGTGAGGACGTTTGGATTTCAAAGTGTTGTGAATGGAAATGCATTTGAAGTAACCTGGCTTTGTACTTGACAGAATCTGGGCCACTTTTCATGGTTGCCCGCTGACCTTGAGGTGTGCAGTTTGCTTTGGGCACTAGTTCTCACAGTTAAAATCGCTCCTGTGATTTGATTCACTGCCCCTGCAAAGCCCCGTGCTTTGGGAAATGTCTATGTCGCCTCCGCTTGCACCCTTGTCCGCGGTCCAAAAGTGTGAAGACGGGGCTCCCGGACGTGGGCGGCTCAAAGGGAGGATGTCGGGTCCCTTTCACCCCCTAAATTCCTTGAGAAGAGCCTGAAGTCCCCGGAATTTGCACTGACCTCTGTCTCCCTCTCTCCATTCTCTGGACCTCAGGCTCTAGGGCCCGCTAGTCCGCTAGTTCTCCCGGCCTCCAGGAGCAGGCTTCGGCTTGCGGGAGGCTGGGGCGCCATGACTCCCCGGCTAGGCGCCAACGAGAAGCATGGGTGTTCCCCGCGCGGATACCCGGCTCTGCCTGTCTTGCTGCGGGTCCGAGTTAGCTCTTGTAAAGCGATCTTTCTTAGGGCCTAACCCGGGTTTTAGTCTACGTGGGGGTGAGACCTCTCTCCCCAAATGTCGTTGTGTTCCTTTGTAGGCGGCCCCATCTGATCGCGCATCTGGCTGTGCGGGGCCCCTTGGCCTTGGCTGGCAGCCGCCGCCGGCGGACCACGGCTGCTGAGCTACTGCCTTGTCTTTCCTCTCGGCAACGCCCGCCCAACTTGGGCCTGATGCGGGCCAGGGGGTGGGATCAGGAACTTAAGGGGCTGAAAATCTCCCCCTCTTGAGCCAGCCAGGGTGCGTGGGGCTCCTTGACCGCAGCCACCGATCCCGAGGTGCCAAGTTCTGAAATAGAGAGAACATATACCAAGTAGGAGCCTTTTGTGTCTGTTTAGAAAGAGGCTCGGCCCTTCTCAATCCCTTTCACTCTCTGTAGACCCATTACGGAATCGGTGGTAGTCTCCCAGTTACCCCTTCGATTTCTTTTTCCCTTGGTGCGATGGTACACAGTGCAACCCAGAGGGGCGCCCTGGGGAGGCAGCTTTTCATTTGCCCCTATCCACCCTGTCTCCAAAGAGTGACAGAATCCAGAGGCAGCTCATAGCTCTAATTCAGGGAGACTATGGGAGCCCATAGATCCCCTTAGGCCCAAAGCCTCCACCCACCCTTCCGAAGAAGACAAGAGAGTGCAGACGCAAGCCACTTTATTATTGTTGTTATTGTATCATTATTACAAATGCTAATTTCTTGGTAAGGCGACCTTTTAAATTTTCCCTGGAAAGAACTGTGCCAGGGAGACAGGCGTCTTGGTACAAATATGGGTATCCATTTCCTTTACGATGCAATATTGAGTTGTTATTAATACTAACTGCTCTAAATGATTTAAATATATTTTTAAAAAACACCAGCCACTCTACATTAAACACTAAGCAAAATAAAAGTTGGCCTTCAAAGCTACTGCTTTTTCCTTCCGTTTGCTTTGTGTCGGGGCTAAGGTCTTACGGTATGTTTTCTGTCCTCCCTTGTAGTATTTTCATTTTGCTCAAATTTTTAAATTCTGTAAATCTAACATATTGACAATTTTGGCCCCGAGGACTCAGTCTGAAGACAGAAATTCGAAGGAGAAAAAAATAGAATTTTTGTGAGAATAAATTCCATTTTTAATTTAGCATACACATTTTTTTCTGCCTTTGAGTGAAGATCTATTTAAACCCTAATCCAATACGTGGTGACTTTGAGCTGGAAGCGATAGGGCACTGAAACAGAAAGACCCACACACAGAGAAGGCAGAGCTGCCTCTCCAACTTCACTGAAGACTTACTTACCAGCTCAGTAAGGAATTGCTTGTTTTTAGACTGGGTGTTTTCTTCGTGTATAAATAAAGATTATGAAAGGGCATTTGATGGGCATAAAATTCCTGATTAGATTGAACAGCCTTTCCTTGCTTGGGATTAGGAAAATTGGACAGTGGATACAAGTGGCCGAGATACAAGGCAAACACAATGCTAAAGCGCCAAGCTGGCGTCAGGGCGACTGCGGAGAACAGTGCAGCGGGCACTTTGTCCGGCCCTGGGCACATTTAGCTATAACTCAGAATTTGATCGCCTCAATGTGAGAAGGGAAATTTTGAGGTGCTAATCAGTGGCTGTTAGGTTTGATCCGGATCTTAGCAACCTGGAGGCAAAAGTTTTGTTTTGTTTTGTTTTTTTCTCCTTTGCTTTACTTAACACCTCATACCCCCTCCCCAGCTTAAAAATAGCCACCCCTGTGGCAAGGTAATGTTTAAGTCTCCAGCTTCGCCACCGCCACCGGGGTGCAGCAGCCAGAGCAGTTAGAGGCGCCAGGCTTTTAACCTGACAATGATGTTGTATTTGAACAGCTGCGTAAAGGTTTAAAAGGTCTGTCTCATTGCCACCGTGGAGTTTTTTAAAAGGGGTTATTGTTTGGGCGAGGGCACTGAGAGGGGACTAGCCAATCGGTCCCAAGGCCGAAAATAAAGTTCGGTGCCTGTTTTCACCAGGCCAGGAGAAATTCCTTTAGGGGAGGGAGGGGGGACAAAGGACTTTTGGGGGGGAAGTGAAATGTTTTTGTGAAGGAGCAACTAGGTCCCCCAGAACACTGAGGTACCTTAAGGAGCATCTAACCCCAAAGAAATGTTCTGTTGAGGCGGAAACCAGATTTATCCACAAGTTCAGTCTCTGGGCCTGAAATCCAAGGCCAGCCCATTCCTGGGTGTGTGTGGAAGAGAACACAGATGTCTCTTCGGACTGAGAACTCGTTCACGGTCACAGTTTCCGGGTCCGTTTTACTTTCTTGACAGAGGGGGAAAGGAGCCGGAAGGCCGAAGGACAGCTCCCCCACACAGGCAGGGCCCCTGGTCCAGAGCAAGTCTTTGGAAATCAAGGTTAAAGCTCCCTGCTGCTGTCCTAAGGCCCCGGCTTCCGCAGGGCGGCTTGCCGCCTGCAACCAGAGAAGGAGGGAGGAAGTTGTTCAAGTTTCTCATAAAACTCTGAGTTTCCATGGTGGTGGTGGCAGCGGTTGCTCTTTAATGAGCTGGACCACAACCCCAGACCATATCCTCTTTATAAAACTTCCCCTCACCAGAAGAAACTGAAGTCCAAGATTCTCCCAGCTCATTCTCCCTCTTGCCCAAGCAAAACCTCGTCAAAGAATTTTAGGGATTGTCCAAAACTATAAAATTTAACTTGTGACAAAAGTACAGCTTTTAATATTTGACGATTTGTGTTAAAACAAAAATTGACCTTCTTGGTTAGTAGCAAAGGGAAGAAAATCAATAGTATAATTTTCAATAATTCATAAAGCGAACGCCATTATGCTAAATCTTAACTATTAATCTTTTCCTTTACAAAGTCTCGATTGATTTGTTAATAAAATATCTTCCCGTTTGTGGCAACAGCGGGTATAACTCTTTAAAAACCTTCAGAAGCAAGAAAATTACCAAGTAGCTCAAGAATGTAGATGAGAATTTTATTGATCGCCCTGATTCTTCTTAATATGTATTAATAAATTCCACAACCTTTTGTACCTTGCACTTGTCAGAAACCAATGCTTTTACAAAATCCATAAAAGGAAAACATATTTTTCTTTGCAGAAGACTAAAATGACACCTTCGCTTTGCTCTCTCTTTGCTCTGGACGGTTTTCTAAAACTTGTGGAATCCGAGGATCAGGTTTTTCTCCCTTTCTTTTGAAAAAGTATTTTCTTTTACTCTTCCTTTCTCTCTGCCCTGTGTTATCAGGGAAAGGAAATCTCGGTTTAGCTGTCTCTGGGAGCCCGAGGGATGCTTTCGCGTATAGGGCATGGCTGGCGAAGGATTATCTCCAAGCTAGAAGCTCCCAGCGGCCAGCTCCTCAAAGGTCAGGGTGTGGTTACTCTGAGAGTCTAGGCTCCAGGAGCTCGGGGGTGCTGAAGGGCCCCTGAGTCCTGGCTGAAGGATAGAAGGAGAGGGTAGCTAAGGGCTGGAACCATCCTCCGGGCTCCGGATCTGCCCAGCTGCGTGGCCTCTCGACCTTCGCGGCCTTTTTCGCTAGTGCTTACCGCGACACCTTGGTTGTATCTTTGCAGTGGAGAGTTTTTTCCTTTGGACCCCTAGGGAGGGATGTTTCAGAACCAGAGGAACCGGACTCACCTTCCCAGCTGCCCAGTACTAAATTAACCAGCCCGCGCCCCTACCCCTTGCTCGGAACCGGCCCTCTTGGGCGCGTTCTGCTTGGGTGTGTGCAGGGAAAACGCTTCTGTGAGCAGGCATCACCGCGCTCTGACTTCCCTCAGTGCGCGTGTCCTCCCGGAGGCCCCTCGGATCAAGCCTTTCCTTCCGCCAGCGAGGCCCGGTGGCCGGGTGGGGGACTCGAGTGGGCCAGGCAGGCCAGCCAAACAAGCCTCGGGAGACCGGCTGGCTGGCCAGCAGCAGAGCTCTGGGCGGGTTGTTTCCAGCGCGCACTATCACTGGCGCTTAGTAGATGTCGCTGTTGTCCGTGCTTACGCGGCCGGCCGGCCGGGCTCTGGAACACGTGACCTACAAGGAGGCTGCGGCTCAAGGCCATTTTCAAATCTCATTGGCTTGGTTGTCATGTGGTCGACAGAGGCATCCACAATTACACCGGGAATGTTTTCCTAGAGATGTCAGCCTACAAAGGACACAATCTCTCTTCTTCAAATTCCTCCCCAAAATGTCCTTTCCCAACAGCTCTCCTGCTGCTAATACTTTTTTAGTAGATTCCTTGATCAGTGCCTGCAGGAGTGACAGTTTTTATTCGAGCAGCGCCAGCATGTACATGCCACCACCTAGCGCAGACATGGGGACCTATGGAATGCAAACCTGTGGACTGCTCCCGTCTCTGGCCAAAAGAGAAGTGAACCACCAAAATATGGGTATGAATGTGCATCCTTATATACCTCAAGTAGACAGTTGGACAGACCCGAACAGATCTTGTCGAATAGAGCAACCTGTTACACAGCAAGTCCCCACTTGCTCATTCACCGCCAACATTAAAGAAGAATCCAATTGCTGCATGTATTCTGATAAACGCAACAAACTCATTTCTGCCGAGGTCCCTTCGTACCAGAGGCTGGTCCCCGAGTCCTGTCCCGTTGAGAACCCCGAGGTTCCTGTCCCCGGATATTTTAGACTGAGTCAGACCTACGCCACCGGGAAAACCCAAGAGTACAATAACAGCCCCGAAGGCAGCTCCACTGTCATGCTCCAGCTCAACCCTCGTGGCGCGGCCAAGCCGCAGCTCTCGGCTGCCCAGCTGCAGATGGAAAAGAAGATGAACGAAACCGCAAGCGGCCAGGAGCCCACCAAAGTCTCCCAAGTGGAGAGCCCCGAGGCCAAAGGCGGCCTTCCAGAAGAGAGGAGCTGCCTGGCTGAGGTCTCCGTGTCCAGTCCCGAAGCGCAGGAGAAGGAAAGCAAAGGTCGGTATGAACAGAGTTGCCACCCCAACGGGGCGCGCAGTTCGGTAAATCCTCGGAAAGGGAGCGCTGGGGTGCCCAAAGCGGAGCCCAGACAGCGGAGCCCAGCGCCCGACTCGGCAGGT